GGAGGGAAGACACATAACAACTGGTTAGCCAAGAGTAATTGGTTTTGGAAGCAGCATATGACTGTCTTTTCTTCACCCCCACCATCCAGAGCCTTGTTTGGGTACTTCTAGCTAGCACCTCTGGAGACTGTATTAAAAATAAAGTCTTTCTAAGTTAAGGTTTTCCAAATAGCTTTGTATTTCCTAGCATACTTAACAAAATGCAGATTCTTGGGCTACCTGAAATGCTATAAATAGGAATCTCTTAGGGGTTGTAGCCTAGGAGCCGATACTTTCCCCAGAATGACTTCTCCAGGTAATTCTAAAGAACACCAAACTTTGCAGTTGTGTCACTATCAGTTGGAGATGATTCACTTGACAAAACGAACGATTGGTCACTACTTTTTTTTTTTTTTTAAATGCTGACATCCTTTTTGAATAAATGTTGCAGAGGAAGAGCAGGCTGCTGTGGGTGAACTGTGCATAACCCTCTTTTATTGATGTTTCGATCATAAGGACAGACTATTACTGAAGCATTAACAGATAAATGTGGTGATTATGAAGTATTGACATCTAAATGCAGGAAATCCCATGAGTGTGGGAACATGAGAATTATGTGCATCATGCAGTTCTTCAGAGGAAAATTAGAGAGCAAAATTGCCTTAGACATTCTTTCTAAAACCAGTAAGATTGTCTACAGAGAGATGTTCCTCAACTTCGGTGGGGCTGCATCCCAATAAACCACCATAATTTGAAAATACTGTAAGTCGAAAATGCACTTAATACACTTAAACTACTAAACATTATAGCTTAGTCTAGCCTACCTTAAATGTGCTCAAAACACTTACATTAGCCTATAGTTGGGCAAAAAATTATCTAACACAAAGCCTATTTTATAATAAAGTGTTGAATATCTCATGTAATTTATTGAAAAACAGTATGGTTGTATAGGTAGTCCAACTACAGTTTCAACCTAATGCATTTCACTTTTGCACCATTGTAAAGTCAGAAAATCCAAAGTCGAATCAGCATAAGTTAGGGACCAGCTGCATATACAATCTTATATATATACAGTATATAGTCATGTGTCGCTAACTGATGGGGATATGTTGAGAAATGCATTGTTAGGCAATTTCATCATGTGCAAATATCGTAGAGTGTACTTACACAAACCTAGATGGTACTGCCTATCACACACCTGGGCTGCATGGTATAACCTAGGCTCTTTGGCCACAAACCTCTATAGCATCTGACTGTGCTGAATCCTGGAGGCAATTGTAACACAATGGTAAGTGTTTATGTATCTAAACATAGAAAAAGTACAGCAAAAATACCTTATAAAAGATTTAAAGGCCGGGCGTGGTGGCTCAAGCCTGTAATCCCAGCACTTTGGGAGGCCGAGGCGGGTGGATCATGAGGTCAAGAGATCGAGACCATCCCGGTCAACATGGTGAAACCCCATCTCTACTAAAAATACAAAAAATTAGCTGGGCATGGTGGCGTGTGCCTGTAATCCCAGCTACTCGGGAGGCTGAGGCGGGAGAATTGCCTGAACCCAGGAGGCGGAGGTTGCGGTGAGCCGAGATCACGCCATTGCACTCCAGCCTGGGTAACAAGAGTGAAACTGTCTCAAAAAAAAAAAAAAAAGATTTAAAATGGCCCGTCTACACAGGGCACTTACCGTGAATGGAGCTTGCAGGACTGGCAGTTCTGGTGAGTCAGTGAGTGGTGAGAGAGCGTGAAGGCCTAGGACATTACCATCACTACCGTAGACCTTATAAACACTGGCCACTTAGGCTACACTAAACTTATGGAAAATATTTTTTGTTTAATAATACATTAACCTTACCTTACTGTAATGCTTTTACTTTATGAACTTTACGTTTTTAAAGCATTTTGACTCTTTCGTAATAACACTTAAAATACAAACACTTTGCACAGTTGTACAAAAACTTTCTATTCTTACACTGTACATTTTTTCTATTTTTAATTTTTTTAACCTTTTAAATATTTTTATTAAAAACCAAGATACACACATACACATTAGCCTAGGCCTACATAGGTTAGGATCATCAATATCACTGTCTTGTCTCCCGGCCAGGTCTTTGGGGCAGTAATGCGCATGGAGCTGTCATCTCCGATGGTAACTATGTCTCTTTTTGGGATACCTCCTGAAGAACCTCCCTGAGGCTCTTTTACGGTTACCTTTTTTTAAAAATAGAAGGAACATACTCTAAACATAAAAAGGGTTGTACAGTGAATACATTAATCAGTAATACGGTCACTAGTTATGAAGTATTATATACCGTGAATAATTGTATATGCTATACTTTTATGTGACTGGCAGCACAGAAGGTTTGTTTAGTTCACACCAGCGTCACTGTGAACGCATCAGTAATATGTTGTGCTATGACATTAGGACAGCTATGATTTCACTAGGGGATAGGAATTTTTCAGCTCCATTATAATCTTATTAGACCACTGTTATACATGCAGTTTGTCATTGACCAAAACGTTATCTGGTACATGACTATATCTCTCTGTGTATATATTCACATATATATTAGTATAGATATCTGTATATGTATATGCATGTGTATATGCATGTAGAGAGAGTCAGGGTCTTGCTCTGTTGCCCAGGTTGGAGTGCAGTGTTGCAGTCATGGCTCACTGCAACCTCAATCTCCGGTGCTCAAGTGATCCTCCTGCCTCAGCCTCCCAAGTAGCTGGTATCACAGCTGTGAGCCACATTGCTTGGCATGCTTTGGTATTCTGAATGTTTCCAGAATACCAGATCCTACAGATTCCTAGGGCCATCTTTTCCTTTAACACAAAAGCAACATGGCATGTATCCCATTGTGCATACAATAGGGCATTGAGCATCTTCCCTACGTGCTCCTGGGAATTTCCTGGGAGTTTATAATCCCATGCTCATCCCCAGCTCCATATTCTAAACATCTCCATCTGGAAGCTCTGTGGCCAACCTGAGCACAGGAATCCCTTACCTGCCAGCCCACATTCTTCCTAAATTTAGCTTTCCATGTATTTCCTGGTATGTATGCTTTCCTGTTCCCTCTCCCTCTTCCTCCTCCTCCTCCTCCTCTCTCACACATCACCTCTCATACTTCTTTCCTGCATTCTAACATCCACCCCCAAACTTTTTTTCTCCAACTACCACTGTAAGACAAAAAACTGTTAATGAACTATAAAAAGTAATTTAGTTCTCTATCCTCATCTCTAACTGGACTCTAGACCTTCTTTTTGAGTTAAAAAGTCATTCAACGCTGATTTCCTGAACACCAGCCAGAAGATGGGCACTGTTTTAGTGACCTAAGGAGCCCTCTAAGTTGTTCTGCTGAGAGACCATTCACCTTCAGAACAAAGAACAGGTTGAATGAAGAAAGTTTGTATTTGAGACTTTCTTATACTTGGGTGAGATCAAATTCTTAGGCAAAACCGTTTCTCCCAAATACATACTAGAAGTTTTTTTTTTTTTTTTTGAGATAGGGTCTTGCTCTGTTGCCTAGGCTGGAGTGCAGTGGTGCGATCTTAGCTCACTGCAGACTTGGCCTCCCAGGTTCAAGCAATCCTCCCACCTCAGCCTCCCAAGTAGCTGGGATTACAGAGGGCGTGCTGCCACACCCAGCCAATTTTTGCATTTTCAGTGGAGTTGGGGTTTTGCCATGTTGGCCAGGCTGGTCTTGAACTCCTGACCTCAGGTGATCCACATGCCTCAGCCTCCCAAAGTGCTGGGATTATAGGCGTGAACCACCACACCCATCTGGAAGTATTTTTAAAAAGTTCTTGTTATACTTCCTTTTTTGTGTGTGGTAAAATATATGTAGCATAAAATTGACCATTTAATCCATATTTTGAATGAAGAATTCAGTAGTATTAGGTATAATGACAATGTTGTACAACCATCTGCACTATCCATTTCTAGAACTTTTTCATCATCCCAAACTGAAACTCTTTTCCTGTTCAACAGTAACTCCCATTCCCCCTTCTCTCAGATCCTGGTATCCTCTATTCTGCTGTCTCTGCGCATTTGCCTTCTAGCTACCTCAAATAAGTGGAATCTGACATTTGTCCTTTTTCGTCTTGCTTATTTCGCTTGACATGTTTTCAGGTTCATCTGTGTTGTAGCAGGTATCAGAAGTACCTTTCTTTTGAAGGTGGAATAATGTTCTACTGTAGGTATATACCACAGTTTGTTTCTCCATTCATCAGCTGAGGGACATTTGTGTGGTTTTTGCCTTTTGGCTACTGTGAATAAGGCTGCTATGTACATGGGTATACAGATACTTATTTTCAGTTATTTTGGGTATGTAGCCAAAAGATGCTGGATCATAACCATTGTTGCACTTCTTATCAAACATAATAGGGCGGGTGTCAGCACCAGCCTGGGGAGTCAGGAAGTCTGGGTTTCAGTCCTGGCTCAGTCACTTATAACTTGGGCCTGTAACCTCACCCTCTCACCTCCTTTCTTCCTCTAAAACAGGGGCCTGGGTGGGATGCAGTGGCTCGCGTCTGTAATCCCAGCACTTTGGGAGGACGAGGTGGGTGGATCATGAGGTCAGGAGTTTGAGACCAGCCTGGCCAACATAGTGAAACCCCATCTCTACTAAAAATACAAAAATAAGCCAGGCATCGTGGTGTGTACCTGCAGTTCCAGCTACTCGGGAGGCTGAGGCAGGAGAATCATTTGAACCTGGGAGAGAGAAGTTGCAGTAAGCTGAGATCATGCTACTATACTACACTCCAACTTAGGCAACAGAGTGAGACTTCATCTCAAAACACACACACACACCCCAAAACAAACAAAAAAACCCCAGGGGCCTGGACTAAGATCCCTTCCAGTCCAAAGATTTATGAAATGAATATTGAATCATATTTTCCAAAGCTACATTATACCTTATTTCAAAAATGCTTAAATTACTAGAAGTATAATCTTCATTTTTTACATGTCTGCAAAGTTATTATGTCTTTCGTGTAGAAAATTGTAGCTGCTATCATCTGACATTGTAGCAATCACTCTGACAGTCTTATCCATTTATCCATTATCCATTTTTAAGTTTTAGGTATTGGAAATATAAAGATGAGTCACATAAATTCTATTTTTAATCCAGTGGCAGAGATAGATCAATCCTTTTTCTCTTCCTTTATTCCCCCTTTCCCAATTTGAGCAGGGGGAGCATTTTGGCCCAGGCCTCACATCCATGAAAAACTTTAAACATTAGACTTCTCAGTGTGAAGTTAAACACACAGTGACAGAAGTCGTTAATAGGATAGAGAAAAAAATGATGTCATAGGAACTGAACCTTGCATTTATGACTAACCACACCTCTGTGCATTAAAAATTAATATTTTCGCCCCACTGGCGGCTCTGAAGAGCCATCTTTGCATTGTTCCTCCTCCGACTCCTTGCTCGCCTCCGCCGCCTCCGCCTCCGCCGCGCGTCTCCTTCGCCGTCGCAGACTCCGGCAGCTTTATCGCCAGAGTCCTTGAAATCTCGCTTTCTTTTTAATCCCCCGCATCGGATCACTGGCGTGCCCCACCATGTCAGACGCAGCGGTAGACACCAGCTCCGAAATCATCACCAAGGACTTGAAGGAGAAGAAGGAAGTTGTGGAAGAGGCGGAAAATGGAAGAGACGCCCCTGCTAATGGGAATGCGAATGAGGAAAATGGGGAGCAGGAGGCTGACAATGAGGTAGATGAACAAGAAGAAGAAGGTGGGGAGGAAGAAGAGGAGGAAGAAGGTGATGGTGAGGAGGAGGATGGAGATGAAGATGAGGAAGCTGAGTCTGCTGCGGGCAAGTGGGCAGCTGAAGATGATGAGGATGATGATGTCGATACCAAGAAGCAGAAGACCGATGAGGATGATTAGACAGCAAAAAAGGAAAAGTTAAACTAAAAAACAAAAAAAGGCCGCCATGACCTATTCACCCTCCACTTCCCGTCTCAGAATCTAAACGTGGTCACCTTCGAGTAGAGAAGCTGGTCCACCTGCCCAACGCGGGCAGTGCCACCCGCAGATGAACGACGTGCTCTCCACTACCCAACCCGAACCATGAGAATTTGCAACAGGGGAGGAAAAAAAGAACTAAAACTTCCAAGGCCCTGCTTTTTTTCTTAAAAGTACTTTAAAAAGGAAATTTGTTTGTATTTTTTATTTACATTTTATATTTTTGTACATATTGTTAGGGTCAGCCATTTTTAATGATCTCCGATGACCAAACCAGCCTTCGGAGCGTTCTCTGTCCTACTTCCGACTTTACTTGTGGTGTGACCATGTTCATTATAATCTCAAAGGAGAAAAAAAAACCTTGTTAAAAAAAAAAGCGAAAACGACAACAGAAAAACAGTCGTATTCCGAGCATTCCAGTACCTTTGTTGTGTATGTACTTAGCTGTACTATAAGTAGTTGGTTTGTATGAGATGGTTAAAAGGCCAAAGATTAAAAGGTTTCCTTTTTTTCCTTTTTTGTCTGTGAAGTTGCTGTTTATTTTTTTTGGCCTGTTTGATGTATGTGTGAAACAATGTTGTCCAACAGTAAACAGGAATTTTATTTTGCTGAGTTGTTCTAACAAAAAAATAAAAAAATTAATATTTTCAGTAAATGCGTTATCTTGTGAATAACAATCTTGCATTCGTTGTAGGAATGTTAAAAGCCTTAATTTTATTCTTGTAAATATTTGAACTCTACCATGATGCTTTTTATCCTGAGTTATACTTGGCTGAGAATAACAAGGACCCCCAACAAATACTGCACTCCAGCCTGTCACCAGAAGGCAAGAGGGAGGCAGTCCCGGGTTTGTGTGGCCACAGGAGGGAGTTATGAGAGATGCCAAATTATTTTTTCTTCCTTTTGGTCTGGACTACATTTCCTAGACTTCTTTGCAGTGAGTGTGGCCGGATGACTGAATTCTGGCCAAAGGAAAGCAGATGGAAGTGATAGATGCTGTTTTTGGTTCTGGTTCATAAAACTTTATTGCAGGATTGGTTCATTCTCTTTTCCTCTCTCTGCTGGCTGGATGTTCACACCCAAGGTGATCTGAGAAACCACATGTTGACAATGGTAGCACCTCCATCAGCCTGGGTCCCTGAGTCATGATATGGAGCAGAGCAATTCCTTCCATTCTTTGCCAGTTGAACTTTACATACATCATAGACGATTGTTGTGTGAGAGTTCAGAGTTTGCCTGCTACTGCAGTTATTGTCACCTTAACTTACAAAGATTACATCAGGAGACTAGCCTCTATCTTACTTGTCTGCCTTTGAGATGTGCCTTTCATCCTTGAGGTCATAGGATGACTGCCACATCGCCATTCACCAATAGGTGTATCCTAGCCAGAAAAGAAAGGAGGCCAGGAAAGAGTAGAGAGGAGCCCTTTCTGAGGACGTTAACCTATTTTTTCAGTGGCCAGGCTTGTGGCATGTGACTACCTCCAGCTGTCAAGGAGGCAGGGAATTTGAATATTTTGTTTGCCAGTCTTTACTGTAGAGGGGAATAATACTGAAAATGAGGGCCGGGCACATTAGCTCACATTGGCCCGTAATCCCAGCTTTGGGAAGCCAAGGTGGGCAGATCACAAGGTCAGGAGATCGAAACTATCCTGGCTAACATGGTGAAACCATGTCTTTACTAAAAATACAAAAAATTAGCCCGGCATGGTGGCATGTGCTTGTAGTCCCAGTTACTTGGGAGGTTGAGGTCGGAGAATTTCTTGAACCGAGGAGGCAGAAGTTGCAGTGAGCTGAGATCACACCATTGCACTCCAGCCTGGGCGACAGAGCAGGACTCTGTCTTAGGAAAAAAAAACAAGTAGGCACTAGTCTCTTCTTTGGCATTTCATCTCAAGAACTTTAAAAGCAGCCTCTTTGATCCCTGAGAGGCCTCTTTGAGTTTCAGCAGGTTCTCCCTCCTGCCTGTGGGTAGAGGTCAGTATCTGGCCCCTGATCCGCCAGGCTGACCTAGACTGTGGTACCTTGGCTGGGCCTGGTCACCTCCCAAGTTGCAGCTTTCTTTCTCTTGTCCTTCCATCTCCACTGTTGGTCCCAGTTCATACCATTTTAATTCTGTTTTTGACTTCTGTTTCTGATTTTATTTCTGCCTCCCACAGCTACACTGCCCTCCAGAAAGACTGGTAGGGATTGCTCCCAACTTGGTACAGGAGCTGGAATCCCACCCCCTACAAAGAGGCCTGGCCCTGTTCTTCTAACCACTTGGACTCCCAGGTGCCACCCACCCTAGGTGACCCGGGGTGGCTGGGCTCAGTGCCTTGCTGGGCTGCCCACTTTCCCTTCCTCCAGTGCCCCATCTCCAGGGGCCAGGCCTGGGAATACTCCTGTGCATGAGGGCCTTGTCCATTTTGCAGCTGGGCAGTGTTGGCTGGGCCTGCTTTTGTGTGTGTGTGTGTGTGTGTGTGTGTGTGTGTGTGTACGTGTACATGTGTGTCTGTGTCTGGTGGTTAAAAGGCCTGTGGATAATGGACTATGAGAGATGGTCTAGATTTGGGCAAGTGGAGATGAGGGTATGGCCTCTTTTGTCACCTATAAGACACCAGGTAAGAAGCAGGTGTGGCCAACATGTGACTCCATCCAAAGTCCCTAGGCCCCTTTTCCATTCCTTTTGTTCCACTCCCATCCACTCATTCCCCTACACAAACTTCTGTGTGTTTGATTTCCCATAGCTCTGCACCTGGGACTCAGCCAGTGTAGCCTTCTCTTCCAGAGGCCCTGGACTACCTCAATTTACAGCATATCTTCCCTCCCACCCCCACCTGACCCTTTCCCAATGGCAGGCAAGGGCTAGCGCCGTGCCGGCGGGGGGGTGGGGGTGGGGCGGCGCACAGGTAGTCTGAAGGATGAGTGCCTTGCCTTGGAAAAGGACAAACTTCAGACCTCCCCCCTGCTCCCTCCAAGGTCTGTGTCTGAAGTCACCTTCTCTAGGCTTTTCCCTGCTAGTCACCTGTCCAGCTTCCTCAGTAAGTTGCCTGCACACGAGTCCTCATCTCAGGGCCTCTGCAGAACCCCACCTGAGACAGCAGGAAAGTATCTAGGGAGTGGAAATAGCTCATTTGAACTGTGGTGCAGAAAGAGCAGTTGGCTTTGATTGCCAGGCATGGCTGGGACTCTGTTCTGTAGGAAGGGGATGTCAACAGCAGCTTCTGAACTGCGAATCAGCCTACAGGAAGGGGGTTAATCTGTACATTAGCATAGGGGAAACTTGGAGGCAAAAGGCAGCTGGAAGGCTATTTTAATAAACCTGAGTTCTCAAAAGCATGAAATCAGTTTTTAGGGTGTGGCAGCAGGAGGGTGAGGAATGGGGTGTACAGGAGGGTGACTTCAGAGGCTGAAGGCCAGAGGGCAGGAGAGAAGGCACCCACACTGACGCCCTGGAGTTGAGGGAGAGGGGGTGCCCTTGGTAGGAATCTGAAACACAAAGAAAGGGTTGGTCTAGAAGGCAGAGGGGGAATTCCACCTCCCATCCCTGTCTGCCACTCTGAAATCACACCCTTTCACCCTGCATTAATAATTCTTTCTTTTGCATTCTTCTTGATTTATCTTCCAGGAGCAGACCCTCCTTTCCAAGTCATCATCTGGCATAATTCTTAGATCATTATGGCTTAATTGGTGTTTGATCATTTTTAGCCTCGGCTCTTCAACATCAAGGGAGAATTTGCAGGGGAATGAAAAAGATCTCATCGCGATGACACCCAGTTTTGCAGAGCTGGGTGTGTTAAGTCCTCTTTTACAGCTTTTTGAAAGGCACAGGATTGCATTTAGATAACACCTAATGCCAACAAAGCAGTGAGCTGTTAGGATTGAGCTGTGAAATGGTGGCATTTAACAGTAGGGCTGAGTTTATTGTACATTTTAAAGTTTAACTCTGTCCTTCATGATCCTGAGATGTCCTAATCCTTCTGCAGAAGCAGAATGGGTGAACTCTCAGTCCTGGAAATTGTGAACGATGAAGACACAATATAACCTGTGAATCACTTAGATCATTTTTCTTACAGACACAATACTTGGCTCTATTTGACCGTGTTATCGGAGATTGTATTTTGCTTTAAATAATGAGCCATTGCACTAAGAATGGAGAAATGCTCCAAGGCGCTCACTTTTAATTTAAACACAAGTTCAATGTACCATCCCAGAGTGGAGATTGCTATCGTCCTCAGTGCATCCGGGTTTTACAGCTTTCCAGATGCACATGTTCTTTGTGTTAGATGATGGTGCTGTACTCTTTCAGCAGCTCTCATTGGGTAACCCAAGGAAAAGTATGTTCTTATTAAACAAGGACCAACCCGCTAAGGGAATGCTGCCTTAATTAGTTTAATCATTTACACTTTGATTCAGACCCACCCACATTTCTGAATGCCTACTCCATGCTAGGCACAATGCTAACTGCTAAACAATGGGGGTACACAGAGGTGCCTATAAACCGTGTCCCCTGCTGCAGAGACTTGCAGGCTGGTTGGGGTTATAGACATCAGAAATGGATTATTACGGTGCAGTGTGGTACGGTACACAGGGCTCAGCAGGCTTTCAGGCAGGAGGCAAACACCCCTGGAGCTTCCACAGAGCCATTCCAGTTCTCCCTAGTCCTCCCGCATGTTTCCATCAGATTCAGCACCCCTCACCTCTGCTGCTTTAAAACAAGAGAAGATTCCTCAAAAAATAACATGCAGAACTACTATGTGACCCTGCAGTTCCATTCCCAGGTATATACCTAAGATAACTGAAAACATACGTCTACACAAAAGCGTTTATACCCATGTACATAAGAGCAGAATTTACAACAGACAAAGGGTGGAAACCAACAAAATGTCCATCTGTTACAGGGAAGAGGTTCTGATCCAGACCCCTAGAGAAGGTTCTTGGATCTTGCGCAAGAAAGAATTCAGGGCGAGTCCGTAAAGTGAAAGCGAGTTTCTTAAGAAAGAAGAATAAGTCCAGGCACAGTAGCTCACGCCTGTAATCCCAGCACTTTGGAGGCCGAGGCGGGTGGATCACAAGGTCAAGAGATTGAGACCATCCTGGTCAACATGGTGAAACCCTGTCTCTACTAAAAATAGAAAAAATTAGCTGGGCATGGTGGCACGCGCCTGTAATCTCAACTACTCAGGAGGCTGAGGCAGGAAAATTATCTGAACCCAGGAGGCGGAGGTTGCGGTGAGCCGAGATCGTGCCATTGCACTCCAGCCTGGGTAACGAGCAAAATTCCCTCTCAAAAAAAAAAAAAAAAAGAATAAAAGAATAGCTACTCCATAGACAGAGCAGCCCAGAGGGCTGCTGGTTGCCCATTTTTATGGTTATTTCTCGATGATATGCTAAACAAGGGGTGGATTATTCATGCCTCCCCTTTTTAGACCATATAGGGTAACTTCCTGATGGGGCCATGGCATTTGTAAACTGTCATGGTGCTGGTGGGAGTGTAGCAGTGAGGATGACCAGAGGTCACGCTCATGGCCG